GCATTGTTTTTTGTTGCATTGAGATTTAATTTCTTTTGATAGTATTTTTGAATACTATGCGTCTCTATACATAATTTAAATCACTTTTCCTGTTAAGTTTGTGTACTTACATACATTAAAATACGATTTTTCAAGTGTACGAATATTTATTTCCCCCTACTGTATATAAGGATTAACTTCGGATTTATAACTGGGTCCTATAAGTTCTTTATCGTCTATAGAATACGCATGAAGGATGAATGAAGAGAGTGTTCCAATCCTTAAAAACTTATCTAGAGTTAGATGCGGTGAGATATTAGTACAGAAATTACTAAGGTATTAGTAACGACACCATCACGTTATACGCGATTGCCGCAGTCGTCTGTAGATGAGGATATAGGCTATCTGAAAACTGCAGCACTGAGTTGTTGGTTAGGTTCGGTCTGTGACTGAAGTAGGGAATGCTTGCTTATATAGGCGTACAACAATGACGTCACAGCAGGTGACGTGGTTACACCTACAGCAAGTTGGGTGGGGACGGTAGACAACCTGACACCAGCTCATGGAATGGCTCAGGTATTTTAAATTTTTTTCTTGTCATCATGAAAATTGGAAACGATGCAAACAAGCACTAAGTTGCTTATCAGTGGCTTAAAAAACAGTGGAATAACATCGAAAGAATTTCTTGTTTGAAATTTTCTTAGCTTGAAATTGTGAAATAGTCTGAATTGATGGGTAAAATTAGTTTAAAAATTTCAATTTTCAGATGGTAAGAGGAACTAATTCGCGCAAGGAGTGACCTCTCTCATGCATTTACTCACATTTTCAAGTTGCTCTTTGACTTCATGAACAACCGGAAACTGTTCACTGCTGTCTGCATATTGGTTTTCTCTGAGGTAGGCTGCGACGGCGTCACGCTTGAATGCGAAGTGTTGGCTCATGAGAACGGAGGCCTCAAGTTGTTTTCCATTGGGGAAAACAATAGAATTCATGGCATTTTTGTATACTTCAAGAGAAATATTACGAGCTCCATTACTGCATACACGTGCCATCATCTGAAAATTTTTGAGAAAAAAACATCAACGAAACGGACTTTCTAAAGCAAATCTTATAATTTGGTCCAGTATGGTGTTTTGCTGCTTGGGCCTAGATATAAGTGAAACATTGCAGAATATAAGGAATAATAATCAGGAATATAAATAGAAAGGATGATTTGCACTGATCTCTGACGACAAACAATAATGAATAAGAGTAAAATCGGGCTCTTAGTGGTATGGTATCAACCTTTCTGAAACTCATTATCTTAATTCATACTTTAAAAGACATTACGTCCCAAAAGCAAAAAAATGAAACCGAGAGACGGTAAAATCGTGTACATCTCAAGATATTCAGATTGAAGTGCACGAATGTACATTAGCAATCTTTTTATAACTTTTCCTATCTCAAAACCTCAGCCAGACTGGTGGGTTCCACCAGCTTTCCCTCCCTGAAGACCGCCATGTAGGTCTTGATGAAGTCCACCAGCTCTTCCCCGGTGGCGGGCTGTCCCCGCCGCGCCGCTGAACGCTTCACCACGAGGCGCTCAGGCGCCAGCAGGCGAGGCACCAGCAGCTTTATGTGCTCCACGAATTGTGGGCTCAGTTCTGTTCATAAATTATCAAAAATTTTATAAAAACTTCTTACATATCACTTAAGTGAGATGTCAGCTTTAACGCTCATACGGGTGGTTGCGTGTTAAAATTTTTTAAATGTCAAATTTTGTTAGCGGTTGCCACATAAAATTAAGATTAAATTGATCTTAACTTTATGTAATTTATTTAATAATTTCCGAATAATTGATTTTAAGTGCAGGAAGACCCGTTCGCACCAACGCTTAACATGGAACTCACATTCAATTTCAGTTCTATGCATGAGATACGTTATTTGTAAAAACACTTGAAGTGTGCAAGGCTCATGACTGTAACTCAAGCTTCTCGAATGTTCCACAATATCCAAGTGACAGATCCATGATATCTGATAGCAACATTAGGTCCTGCAGAGGGCGCTTACGATTTGGTCGACCATCAAAATTGGAGTCTTCGGCCGCGCCGAGGCCGATGTGCGGCATGAGGTAGCACTCCAGCTTCTCAAAACTCTGACGGAGGCCTTGTCTCATCAACCTCTGGTGGGTTGACGCATTCATCAGCTTCTCCGCCTTTTCCTTTGCGGGAAATTTGAAGGACATCAACCATAACAGCAGTCTGCTATATTATATTTTCATTCCGGGCATATTAGGGGGAGCACCATCAAAATATAAATTGAAAAATCAAATTCATAAATAATTATCGAGAGAGCCGAGGATTCTAATGTTATAGTGTTAGAGGAAAAAATACGCCAATACTTATATTTTATCACGAATGTACAACTGCTGTAACTGATTTGAAGACCCATTGGAGGCAGCACATTTCACCAGTTTTTTATGAATGTTTAAACAGGGAGGCTATTTCAGATGTTCACAAGTTCGATATCGGAGAAACGGATGATTTCGCATGTACACATGATAGAAGATGCCTTTCAATCATACTAAACATACTAGAACTTCACGCTTATATCTTGACTATAATGTTCTCTCACCCTGCCAATAATGAAGATTTTTCAACAGCCTAAACTGACTTCCTCATCCTTTTGTCAACGGATAGGATAAGGTAACCGACGTCAATGTCAATCGCATCAAAAATCCTGGAAACGCGAGTTACCTTTTGTAGATATAGGGCTGAATTTCGACATACCATTAATTATTCGCATCTAAATATGTAAATCCATTATACATATATTTATTCTACGTGGAAATCTGTAATTGCAACATATATTCTGAACAACTTACCCCTAGTTGGCCTAGCACTTTCTCCAGTACAACTTGACCGCCCTCGTGGCCGCATGGATGCTGCTGAGGAAAACTCCAGTCACGCACCAGGAGTAATAGGTTCTGAAAGGTTCAAAAGTTTTAAACAATGTCTGTAAGTAAATTCGAGAACGCGTTCTAACTACCTTCAAGAGAAGGTTTCTAATAACTTCAAAAGACGCGATTATTAATCTATAATTTGAAACGAGAGGATCTCACTGTACTCACTGCAGAGGAGACGGGAGAGGTATGTCATCCATTACACATGGAAGATAATAACCGGAATGGCGCCAAACTTCGAGAGCGAGACCTTCGGGATTGAGACATATCACAACGAGAGAAGGGGGAGACTGTGCAAGGTCCCCCCCCCTACGTAACAGATCCGCAGTCAGATTTCAATCCCTGCGGGAAGGATCACTTTCCGTGGCGGGGCCGAGGCTGTTTAACGCCCTACCAAGGGATCTAAGAGATGGGGAATTCACCCTGCAGACCTTCAAGAGACGACTGGACGTGTTCCTGAGCACAATCCCAGATCGACCTCCCCTACAAACCTACCAGCGGCGAGAAGCAAGCAACAGCATCGTGCATCAGGTGGCCCAAATGAGGGCGGATGAGCGATAATCAGAGGCGGCGATCCATCGTGACCTGGGACTGCTACGTCCCAAACAAATACTAAGGATACCAAGGATCCAATTGTTCAATGAGTTTATTTCTTCAGAATAATCTATAATATCTAAATTTGTAATTTGCAATCCGACGTTGGAATCAAACTCCACTGAATGAGTTTCAGTCAGAATTTACCTAATGCGCAGCGAGAAATTAGTTATGAAAGAGAGAATTCAGCAGTAAAACAAATGATGGAGTCAGAAATTAATCGAATTAAATTGGAATCGTTCATTGTATTTCTGCTCAGAAATAGATCTATTGGCCCGTTAACGGTAAGGATCTTAGCAGATGCTGTGTATTATTGGTAATATATTATATATTCTGTTGGCCGAAGTGCTGCATTTTCGTGGACGACATCAACAGGGCCCGGGGAAGCTCGAAGGCATGGAGGTTGTCTATACCTATATAACCACATGATTACTTGCCATCCGACCAGTTCAAATGACAGGTCATGCATACAGAACTTCTTGAAAATTTTATGCTTCTATTTTTGCTAATATTTACTGTAATACTTGAAATGAACATATCTGTACCTGGAATGCGCGCGACTCTTTGATCTCCTTCTGTGCCGAGGCTCCGTAGGTGCTGAACGTCTGCAGGTTAGTGAGGTCGTCCTCGCGGATGTTGTTCATGAGGTTGTACACCGTCACGGAGGAGGTCAACAGCGTCAGGGCGAAGATATACGTCGAATCCTGGAGAAAAATAAATTTTAGAAGAGACCATAGCCATTACAATAAGAAAAGACAGTGTATAAGCGATCTTTAGCTGTGCTTGCGAATAAGTTAGTCCAATGAAGGCTCATGATACTTCTTTTCACGAAAAAAATCTTGAAATCAACTCCGTTCGTTTACGAAAGAGCGGTAGACAATAGAAGAAAGAACTTGCAATGAGTGAGAAAATGGTCAGATGAACTTTCCAATAAACTCTTCAAAAAAATTATACAAGGGTTCTATTGCAAAAAAAATCTTATCTGTGTTGTATAAAATTTACGTTTGATATGATTTGGCTTCTGGTGCCTGGATGACACATTTCCCTGTAAAAATTAATAGCTTTTGTTGGAATGAGCTCGTCGAAGAAAGTCTTGTTTAAAGAAACTTGGTAACGATCAGTAAAGCGTTTAATTGAAACATTTGCTTCAGAAAGAAATGACCCTATCGAAATTCGAAGACCTGTCAGCCGCTGGCACACGGACGCCGCAAGTTCTTATCTTAGGGTAAATTAGAAGCTCTATGTCCGCTTTAGGTTCCGGTTGCCGTAGCGAAATAAGCGCCGAAATGGAATCTTGTGAAATTACTCGTTGAGCTTGGGGCGATCGTGGGGCGCGCGTATTTGGTACCTGATACGTTCGGGACAGACACGGCCGAATATGAAAAATGCTTAAAAAAATTCCCCCTCCCTTCTCCCCCTTATGGGGGGGGGAAGGGAGGGGGTATTTCAATCTCTGTACGTTATATATATATGCAGTCTATTTTGCACTACTCGCTCAGTTTTAAGATCAGAGCAGTCTATCAGAGGCTCAATTTCATGCAAAGACGTTTACAGCTAGTAACTTTTATGACATGGCGTGGTTAGAAATGAGGGCAATAATCGCAAATAAAAAATTCAATCGATACATCAAAAGGTATCCCTGATTCGAGGTAATGCAAGTCAAGCCAATTTCTCCTATTAAATCCATGTATCCTACTGAATGAACAACGTTGTTTTTAAAATAATCGTTGAATTATTTGCCGTTTCATTTCATGTAACTTTCGTCACATTAAATTTCTATAGAGCAAACAGTTCTGCAAGGGCCTCGAATTTCTGCGTTTATTTACGAAAGATCACACAATAGAACGGAGTAGCACATGTTAATCTTAAATTTTCCAGTCAAATACGTCATAATTTAAGGAAATTGTTTAAAGCTCTCTGAAAGCATCAAATTGTTTAAAGCTCTCTGAATGAGACAAAACTATAATAGGCTAGTACCTTTTCGATAAGCAATGAGCACTCTTCACTACGTACTGATCGATTGAAGGTTTGATTCAAACTGGCGCCTTCCTATTCAATTGCTGCAACGGTATGCTCTGTCCGGATGGGGGGTGCGGGAGGTAGACCCCCACATACCGGCATACCCCCGTATGGCGGGAACTTCGATTGTTCGTGCGTTTACCTTGTTCAGCATCTGACCAGCCCCATCGTGCGATAGCGTCATCAGCGTTTGACCAGGGGCATCATGACGAAGCTTGACCAGCTGCTCTTTTTAATCTTATTACGCAGATTTGGCCTACCGGGCAATTGACTTCCAAAAGAGGCTGGTAAATAGAAGCAAAACACCCTACGTGGCCGACTTGCTCCTGATTCACCCCTAAGCCGAATATAGTTCCTCTAAAACGACCTTAATCGGCACGAAAATTTTGACAGGGGAGGCCTCAACCTAGCTGATAAAGAGGCCTTTTAAATCGATTTATGGGTGGATGGTGAAGGTAGAACAGACCAATTCCAGCCGTTCGTGTCACTTGCCCGATCAACAGAGGCAAAAAAAGACGACGCTATAGAACTGATTTGCTGTATTGTATATTTAAATTATTTTGAATTAAATCAAATGATCGCTTTTTATTCAGAAATACCTCTAAATATAAGTGCAGTTTTCTATCACGAATTGAAAAGAGAGCACTTTGAAAAGATCTCCATCGTTCTTCATATTAGGGACACTCAATTTACTCGTGATCTCAAAGACCATAATGTTGCGGACTAAAAATTAACCCTCTCGAGGACAAAAAGTTCATGTCCGCAGTGTTTTTTCATCGCCGTGGGAAATAGAGTTTATCAATGGTAAATTGTTGTTGATATGTTAAATACAGTTGTTTCTCCAAATAAATCTTCTTAGATAATTCATAAAAAATAGTTCAAACTAACGAAAAAAGATAGTTATATATAAGGAAGACAGAAAATCACTGTTGATTGTAGATACGAGCCCACTGGACATACCCGCGGCGAAGTCTGGGTGTCGAACGTGCCCTGAGTATCCATGAGAATAACTGCCACCTGCAAACAACAGATAATTAGATATCTCTTCACCTTCTCCATTTAGAGTACATATACTAACGAAGAAAAATTAATTAATGTGAACAGTTTTCAACGAGTCAATTGGACAAAGACAGACTACGAGAATTTCGTAAAACACACTCGCTGCCCAATGATATTGGAGTGCGTCAAAACATTTCACGTTAAAGGCATACCGTATTCAGCTTTCGAATAGATGCTGATTGCTCGTTGATAGTAAGTCCGTTATTTAGATTTGTGGAACAAGTCTGAGGACAAAATGTAGTTGTTTCTAGGATAACACGGGAAAAAGTTTTAAAAGTTTACCGTGTGTAACTGATAGAATCAGAAGCCGATGGTAATTCTTAAGAGTACACATTCCATCCTATAAGATTGAACTCACTTCTTTGCCGCTTGGTTTAGCGTAGATAGTAAAAGGTTCGCTCCAAATGTAAATGCCGGCGGTCTGCCCCTCCATGCCTGTGCTCCAGACGAAACCTTCCAGCGGCTGCGACGGATCACCCAGCCAGTTCGGTAAGCCCTGAGCAACGTAGGATCAGCGTAAGTCAAGCTGAATGAAACTTAATTTAAAGGAAATTTATTGGAGAATGTTTTGCGGCTGCAATTCGCTGACACGGGGTTTCACATAACTTAAAACCTTTGCTTCAACGTCTGTCCTACATATTGCCCAATAATTAGACGAATTCAATTATTGACCGGGGGTAACTGAATATTTCATCACACAAGTTTTGGAATGTTTCATCTGAAGGGGGTCTTATCACTTTGGTCTTACAGTGGGTGCACCTGACCTAAGCATCTGACAAAATGGAAAAACTTTATTTAATTAAAACTTATTATCTAAAATAACATGAACCAACACTAATCTAATTTAAATTTACATGGGAAATACAAATATCATATCAACACAACAATATCATTAAATGTTGACTTGATAATTGCAATTTTGTGAAAACCAAGGTTCAAAAAAGTATCCAACACATCGTAATAAAATAATTTGATTTGCCAATAATTTCTCATTCATTATTTTTGGAGGACTATTCTAGAGTCATAAAACGTTGGAATATTCTAGAATGCAGCAAAAAAGTCATAGACATCTTTCTAACTGCAGTCATTCATTACCTGGCATCGTCATTAGAAGGTGGCCTAAATTTTAAGCTCTTCAACAATGCCTAAAACTGCGTAATTGTCCGAATAAACTAGAAAATCAATCATTCAGCCTCTCAGAGATGATTTGGGATATAGAAAAATTTAATCTGTGCTAAGTATCCCAATTTCGACAGTTGGTGATACTGTTCTGAGATGTAAATCATTCCATGTGTCGACTAGTCTGTCACGTTCAGGGCGTCCTACAAAAATTTTCACGTTTCAGGGCGTCCCAGATAAAAGTTTTTTGTAGCTGTAAAAAACTGTTGTCGATTACTCTATATGAAGCTTTTGAAAGTACTGTGAATTATATTTTGAAAGTATTATATATGGGGATAATTTTGACTTCAAGTTTAGACTATTAGTTTTTAAACTAAAATGCTGACACTATATAAATTGAAATGATACCTAGTGGGACAACGGGCCCATGCGTGTCGCGGGCAAAGCGCCCATGGTAGGCTCAATATCACTCTGTGAAGTCTTGTGTTATACATCATTAGATTTGTCTCAATGAGCTCTTCAAAACTATGGCGAGCTTTTTGAATTACAAATTACACTTCATATTGTATGCTTTTTTTATTTGCTGCCTCAGGGCAGCAAGTTCTATATAGTTTCTAACTGTGCGTATTTATGACCCCTTATCTCTGCTTCACCCTTACAACAATATACGCAACTATAAAAGGAAGACCATACAGCCAACTATTCTCAGACTAAACTTGAGAATGTTTTGGAGGAAATTAGGAATGACAAATTACAAAAAGTTCAAATTGCCAAGTAAACGTTGCGTCGGCAAAGAGACAGCGAGATGACGCAAACTGGAATTCTTTGTTTAGGAAAATACGATATGTAACTGCATCCTTGTCTGAAATCAGGAGCAAGTACGAATTTCCTACACATAATATCTGGATTATGGACAAAACTGGAACGAAGTTTTTCTTTCGGTCATGTATACATATTTTTTCTAGTCAAGGATACATTTTTTATGTCAAGGATGAATTTTCATGGCATGGATATATTTTTCAAGTCAAGGATATATATTTTTCAAGTCGTGGATATATATTTTTATGTCAAGGAAATATTTTTTCACGTCAGTGATGATTTTTTAAGCCAAGAATATATTTTTTTAAGTCAAGGATATGATTTTTTAAGTTGTTAATAAATGAATGAATGTAATATTTTTTATTACATTTTTCGTCTTTTAAACTGTAAAGTGTTGTTTCATAATCTTTAAAACAAAAAAAAAAAATATTCAATTAGGGTAGAGGGACCAGAGGTGGGTGCCTTGCCCCAATTGCCCATGGGACATTGCCCCAGGGGTGGGGCAATGGGCCCATTTCAATCAATGGGCCCATGGGTGGGGCAATGGGCCCATTGATGTAGTGTTTCACTAAAAATTGAATAACTCTATTGGCTTCTAATTCACATTATACATTCCTCATTACTTGTAAGTTTAAACAAAGCAAAGAACTACCTAGTAGCAATTAAAACTTCATAAAAAATTTAGTTTAAAAAAGGGGTGGGTTGGCCCCATGTTACCCTACAATAAAAGACAGTTCTTCGAGGCAGGGGATCGGTCACCAAGTGAAACCGCTCTCTTGAAGGCAACTCACGTAAAGAACCGCCGAAACTTTGCGCAAGAACACGTGAGTAAGCATTCAAGCTTTTGGGATAAAATTTTATGGTCAGATGAGACTAAAATTGAGTTGTTTAGTCGGAATTATGTCAGTCGTGTTTGGAGACAGAAAAATTCTAAGTTTCACCCGAAGAATACCGTCCCAACAGTGAAGTTTGGAGGTGGCGGCATAATGCTTTGGGGTTGTACTCGTATCTCTTCTGCAGGCTCTGGGGAATTGGAAATCATTGAAGGAAGGATGAATTCCGAAATGCATAGGGGCATTCATGATAGATGTCTCGTGAAGTCAGCCGAAAAATTTAACCTACCTCGAGGTTGGATATTACAACAAGACAATGACCCGAAGCACACGGCTAGGCAACTTTTGCAAGGTTTCAGGAGAGGGACATTGAGTTATTGGAATGGCCAAGCCAGTCACCTGACCTCAATCCGATTGAAAATCTGTGGCGGGAATTGAAATTGAGGGTGCAGAAGAGAGAAATCATCCAAGATATCTCATCCAATTGAAATAAATTTGCAAGGAAGATTGGGCTCCTATTAGCACGTGTGTTATTGATGTGAACAAGTATTCTAATCGCTTAGAAGCAGTTCTGGCTGCTTAAGGTCACATACGAAGTATTGAGTAAATTTGTTTACTATGTGTAGGATACTTTTTAAATCTGACTTTTACAAAATTGAAATTATCGTGTCAACATTTAATGATATCATTGTTTTGATATGATATTTGTATTTCAAGTGTAAATTTACACTTGAATAGTGTTTGTTTTGGTTATTTTTTATTAAGCCTTAATTAAATAAAGTTCTTCTTTTGTGTCGGATCATTTTTTTGCCCAATGTAAGTCTCGCAAGTCTCATGAATAAAATGAAAGACTTGAGGTTTTCACAAGTCTCACTTCATTGACGCAGTACTTCACTAAGAAGTTCAGAAGGAAGCTCTTGCCGGTCCTGAACGCCCCCGCCACCGCCACCACACAGACGGGTTTGTCGCCGACTTCAGGACTCAGCAGGACACCCCGTAGGGCTTCCTCGTCCAGCTCGAACTCTTGAGTCTCTTTGTTCAGAACAACGATAAGTACAGGATGGCCGGACATGATTACGCCAGTAATAATGAATTTAATGAATAAAGAGTTTCTTAACTCCAGGAATGTTTAGCAAAATTAATGACATGTAGAGACCGCGCCGCAGCTGATAAGCACACCTGCCACAGTCTCCAAAGAGTTTGCCTGCAACACTGAAGGCGAAGGCTGCTCTATCTTTGCGTCAAGTTGACTGTTATCTAGACTATCTTGTGGGTCTAGATATCTATCGCCCTAAATATTACATGTTTCATTCATGCTAATTGTCAGTGAAATTAATGGACATCACGTTGATGAAGGCCAGTGGTCCATTATGCTCATAAAATGGAACCATTAAAAAAAGGGAGTCGTCAACCCCTGTGCCCTAAAAAATATCAGAAGGTATAAGCTCGTCAGAAGGTTTCGCATTTCTTCCTCATGTCTAGCGGAACCTGATAAGATAAGGAAAATCTGAACCATGCTGAAACGTAACGCCGACTTGAGTGTTAAACTTCATAAATGGGCAGTGTGTCGATACGTGAAGCATCCTCCGCGTATCCTGTCGATATTTAAGTATCCTTCTCATAAGGGGACAAGACTTATTAGCGCATATCTGATGCAGATAACAATTTGTTTTAGTGATCAAACTCATAGGCCTAAATCTCATAGAAGTTTCAATAAATACAAAACTCATTACTTGAATGCATTACTCAAAAACATAAAACTCGTATATGTCCGAGGTTGCGCTCATGACTTTGAACTCATTATATTAAGCTCTACCTGAGGATCGGGTTACGTTGACTAAGGTAGTGAGGGATAAGTAAGACCCATCAGTCCAGATAACACATCTTGTATACGGGGTGGTTATACAGAGTTGCGATACAGAGGTACATTATCGTCAGTATTAAATATGCAACGATTTAACCCTCTACCGCCTGACAAGAGTAACCGGAGCAATATTGTATAAGCTACGGCTCGACCGTAAGGTCGGAGAACTCTACCGCAGCGCTACATATCGCGGAGTGCTCATCAGCTACTGGGGGTTTTGCTTAAGGTTGCTAGCCCTTTTATTACCTTCGCTTCCGCCCACTACTGCGGTCTTGATCGCGTGATCTATCACGTGTCTATCAGATGTTGACTCGTCCTCAATCTCTATCAGGTCAAGTGAATTGATACCGGACACCTCCCATCCTCCGGAAAGATCGTCCCGATCGTATGGACACAAAATAAAAAAAACGTCTTGTTCAAAACCTCCGGTCCGATCGTATCTCATAGCTTAAGTATACAAGAATGAAGGTTATAACAGTAATATAAGAATACAGTTCCTTCACTTAAAAGTAGGAAAAACCGGAGTATGGTACTTTTAAAAGAAAAGAACAAGTCCATCTCCAACACACTTGTGGAAGAAATCTCCAATGGGAATACACCTCGTGGTTTTCATAACACCTCGTGGTATTCAATGCCACGTTCGTCCGTTCATTGGGTTCATGTCCTTGTGACACATAAGGTGATTTCTGCCGACTCAGAGTCTAAGGCAAGCTCTCGGTGACACTGTGGACTCATAGCTAGCTAGGTCTGCTTTTATAAACAAAACAATGAGGTTGGAGGTTAGTTATGATTTTAGATTCTTCTCTCTGACCTATATTGATCATTCATTCCCTCTCATTTTTGGAGAAAATTGTTCCTACAATTTCCATTGTAAAAATTAAACACTGAATACCTCAGGTTACAGGAATTCTTATAGAATCTATATCTTCGAATAGAATAGAAAATCCTGAATGCATCATAAATCTCAAATTAAGATTATAACACAAAATAATAAGGATCAAAGTGTTCACAGAGTATCGGAAGAGATATAAATAATCGAATCTTTGCTTTCAGAGAAACATCTTAAATTGACAATGAATATAATTTGAACCACATACTTCAATTGATTCATCCGCTAACACCGAGTTACATTAATTAGATACATTAACTTTGAATGTAACATTTTTAAAACACATTTTGTAACGGCGAGCTGTCATTAAATCACAGAGAAAATTGTTCGTACAAAATTCTACGTTTCTCGAAATCATAAATGTATGATGAATGAACGCATCATAAAAATCAATATAAACATCGGTCTGTTTCAATAATTTTATTATATTGCTAATGCAAATGCTAGCAAAGTGACAGACATTTAAACTTGAAAATCAGTTGGCGATTGCCAATCTAATCGGTATGCTTGTTGATTATAAGTTAATATCGATTAATAATCATTTTAGATTGAGATGCAACTCAAATTTCGCAGTGCAATAACATCAATCTTTGCTTAGCGCGTAACTGTCGCAAAATTCGCTATGAAAACAATTACAGACAATTGCAGTAAAATGAAACTGTTCAAAATAACTGTCATTCGCAGTGCTTAATTCAAACACAATGTAATATTTGAACAATAAAATCTCATTAACATTAAACATCGTTCGAATAAAGGGCAAAATGAAGATACATACATGAGCAATATTAACAGTAAAGTTATTAACTTTTAACTTCGGTTCGTCCATTAGAATGATCTCAGTGACATGGGATTGAAAATAATCTCATCATTATTGATTATATCACGATATCTCTTGCATTTGGCAAGTCTCTTCAAGAATGAACTATAAGAACCATGTTATTGCTATGTGTTTTAATTAGATCGCTTGTCTTATTAAAGATCTCATTAATTGCCATCGCTGAGCGTGAAGCCATCTCGCTCTTGACGCATCATCGTGAAGACGCAGCGATTTCGAACAGACGTTTTCGCAAGGTCAGCAGATGCTGCTTGCATCGTCATTGAATTCTTTGCTTTTATAGCAAAAGAAAGTGTCGGTGAATGGGGTCGAATTCTTTACATGGATTACGGGATCAATGGTCGGCGTTAATGCAAGCATTATCAAAATATAAAAAATTCGCACAACATGATCAAGCGTTAGACAAGTTAGTTAATAACTTAGCGCAATCAACATAATCACAGAAATTTTATATTCAACTCAAACAATTCACCTTTTTATAGTAAAATGCACGTAATTGTATTTGAGAAACACATTTATTAATAGTGCAATGAGTAATAATAGCAACGAAATAAAATAAGCAACGTAATTGCAAATAACTTACATCCTCATAAGAATATTATTGGTTCAATACATGCAGGGTATTGACATCGTTGCAAGTAAAGAATGAGGGTTGCTAAAAAAAATTCTCGACCATCCAGAGGGAGAAAAAAAAATTACTGACTGTCTTCAATAAATCGAGTCAGCATTCAGTATGGCACGTTGAACTCTTCGAGATGCAAATGAACTGCCAGTCTTTGACGGCTGTATCTACTCATGACTGTATAATAAACAATTATTACAGTTTAATCTACTTTTAAAGATTAAATCTACCGTTTGAAATCTTCTAGGTTATCTCAGTTTATCAATTCATTACTTTTACAGTTAATGCAACTGAATAGATGACATGCATTATCCTATTGAAAACATGGTAGAAAAATATAGAGCAGAACATGACATATTGCATTCAAATATCAAAAGACATTTATGAATCAACGTTGCACATTTGAACATATTGTTGCAAAAAAACATAGGCGGAAATTAATTAAACAAGAATATTTCACTGCCTAAATTAATGTTCGTTACATTTAATGTGTCGTCCATTTTATCGGTAAATTTACTCGACAATACTGCTCACAATTATATGCTGCTCTAAGTTATAATGAAGGTTTACTTCATCATTATTGTGCATTCAAGAGAATTATATTTTATATTTATATATTTATATATAGGGCAATTAGGCGAGTCTTGGATACTCGAACTTTGAATTTTTTAAATACAACAATATTTTGGCCCAATTCATCTCATATTGAATGTTGGAGGTTTAACGGTTGAAGGGCAGAAATTCTTTATAATCGTGACGAAATGACATTTTGGTCAAATCTCAAACGAGTATGGTAACAGGAAATCGTTATGCACGGTGAATCGTTATTTTGACGCCAAATGTAAATTACATTTACTCGATTGCGCGTCACATCACTTACGCGTTTGGTTACTCATTGTAGCGTCGATGAGTATATATATAGATATGGGCATAATGGCTGAATATTTATATACGGGTTCATATAATCATTAAAAATTACCCTGTTTGAACTTTTACGAGACGTTACTATAGTTCACATCAATAAAACGTCTAGTTCATAATTATAGCTCTGGTAACATCAATGCACGCTTTATCAATGCATATAATCATCATGTATTCCTTCTTATACGCACGCATTTTAAAATAGAAACATTCGTCAATGTACATATTCATCAATGCTGAAACCCGTGGGCACGCGTTAAGGTCAATACACTCTGAGCGAATGCCATTGAACCAGTCGTTCAGAGACGCTTGTGCTTTTTTTCACAGCCTTCACGTGTGTGTTCACGTGTTGCGCGATGTAATTTTAAAACACTATTCTTTGGGATATAGTTGTACATGCGTTATATAATTAGATATGTCTACAACATCTTTAATACTCAAAGCGAAATTCAATTTAAATAATACGGGTATATATTGGTCAGAATTATTTTTAAAATCTACCTCCTGATTCGCTTATCATTATGCTACAATGGATTCTTTTAATCAGCATTATTTATTTATGCTACGGGTTCGGATTTAATCAGAGTCTTGAAACTCGTTTAAGTTCACAGCACATTGTAAAATTTAAAGATTCGTTTAAGTTACCTCACGCAAGAGTTATAACATCATATGACATGGTAAAATATTACAGAATGTCGCAAATATGCTACATCCACCATAATCAATTCGATAACTGCCATTGCGGCAACTGGTAAAATTATAGAATTATTCTACTTACGAATCTCTGGCTTTTCAAGCCATCCAAACCTCGCAAATCAACTCGGGATACCTTCTGTGGCTCGAGGATTTTTCAGTCGCTACATTCGACTTTTGCTGATATATTGAGTGGAATTAATTCATTTAAAAATAGCGTAAGGACGACATTTCATTAAAAATTCACTTGTTACATAACAACAAAATGAACATTTGCAACGTTCATTAAAAGCTTTGGTAATGAGCAATCACGAGTGCAATTAAATGAACCCTTAGTTCAGAAGCTAACGTCATTGACGTAAGTTTAAGTTGCTT